CTGACAGGCAGCGCTGCCTGGGAAGAGAGCATCTCTCTGTCTTGGCTTCAAGGTAAAGATGGGCCGTACTCAGGGAACAGTTTTCCTCCAAAGGGCCTTTCGGACATTCATCGTATCAGGTGGGTCAGTGCCATGCCTGTCTTCCAAAGCCTGTTGTTGGTGTCAGGTTCCTTGCATCTGTCCGAGGGCACTGCCCAGCTGGGAGGTGCTGAGGGGTCAGTCTGTGCCTGTCCGCTGCTCACTCGAAGGCTGGTCGCAGAAGTCAAGGGTGATGAGGAAGGATCTCTCATAGCTTGTGTAGGTGAAACCCGTGAGACACACTTTTTGAGTGGAGCGTAAGGAGATTTTGGATGGGATAATATCTTTTATTGTTGCTTACTGTACCTTTACTAGAAGAAAAAGATACCTTGGCTTCAGTGTAGATTTGTCACTGAATTATCCGCCAGTTTCCTCCCCACTGAAGCCCGGCGGACTGCAGGGCTGGTAATTGCTCTCTGTAGCACAGCAATGAGGGCAGTAGCAGCATGCGTTGGAAACGGTCTGTGCAAATAGCAGGATGTGTTGCTCTACTCCATAAGAAGCTTATGGTCTACTTGAAAGCCTGTTGGCCTCTCCTTGGCCCTTGGAGAATAATAACTGGGCTAGCAGGTGCTTGCTGGAGGATTGTTTTGCCCAGTATGCACATGTCAACCAAAGTAGAAGCAAGGATCCGTTCCAGAGAGTGGGATGAACAGTGGTGCTTAAAGGGAGCACCGTAAGTAGATTGAGGGGTTTTGCTGCTTGGAGAATTAACATGGGTGGTTAGTTTGATTTGTGGTTATGAGCAGCTACTGCTCAGCCTCCTATAGGAAGAAGGGGAATTGTCTTAGTTTGGCAAAGGGGCCAAACCTTGAGATTTTTTTTTCTCCATGGCCTCTCCCAGAGCCTTGGGTACCTCTCATCTGCATGATGAGGTAAGTGGGTCTGTCGAATGGGGTTCTCCCTTCCCAGTGTCCGGTTGGCTCTGAAGAGCTCCGGCCTGTCAGTTCAAACACTGGCCCATCTCTTTCCTCATCCTGTTTCTGCAGATAGTTGTATCTCAAGTCTGGCACCACAAGGTGGTAATAACCTGGAGCCCAGCCTAGGGGCTGAGGAAACCCCCAGAAAGCCTGAGGTGAGGTAGCTCCCATGTTCAGGCTGCCTGAGGCCTGAAACCAAGACAGTGCTGCTAGAGATAGTGAAGCTGTGACTGGGTAGCAGGGGAGGTTGCCAGCCAGGTTAGATGGGGGAACGTGGACCACATCAGCCCTTGGGTTGCTCCAGCTGGTACGCTGCTCCCTCCCAGCAGCCCAGCACTGTGCTTGTGCGTGCACCACTGAAACACACCCTGCTATTTGCTGAATATTTGCCCTCATGCTCTTCCCTTTGCCCTGCACTGCCTCAGCTAATGAGGTTATTGTTTAGCTGGAGAGAGGCATCCGCTCGTGTTTGCGCCTGGCTGCAGCGTGGTTCCAAGCAGAGGAAAGGGAGCTGCAGCTCTGCCCCCTCCCAGGAAGAAGCCTGGTGGGAGCGTGTCTGCCCCGGCTCTGCTGCTGCGTGGCTTTGGAGTCTGGAAGGGAGAGATGGAGCACAGTCAAGGAGTGGGCCTCCGGACGGCTGGGGCAGGCAGAGTGTGTCAGGCTGTGAGCATCTAGTTGAGGTTTTCTTGTGCCACCAGTCCTGTGGTAATAAACCTTACATAAACCTAGCCGGAAGCACAGCATTAATATTTAAAAAGTGGCATTTAAGGTATGAATATATGCTGCGTCCTCCAGAAGAATATCTATGTGTCTGTGTGCGTGCACACACTTGGGGCTTTGTTTTCCTTTTATAGTGGATTGTTGTGTGTATGTATTTTACTCGGGGTATTTTGTGCTATAATAAGAAGGGGAAGGGAGCAGGAAAATACTGCTCTGTTTATATACACTGCTGTCAACAGTGATGCTGCGTGCTTCAGATTCGCATCCTCTGTGAAGTGCTCTGAATTCCAGGCAAGCAACACCCTTCCCCCCTGTATCCCGAGATCCTTCGGGAGGACTGCCTGAGCCTCTCCTGCCATGCCTCTCTTGCTGGCAGGCTTGCCTTCTCCTGGAATTTGGCTCTGGTGAATGTGGCACACTCCGTACCCAGCGTGCAAACAGGTTGATATGCTAAGGTTCGAAGGGACAACCTTGGAAAATGTCAGAGCAGCATCTCTGCACCATTGTTCTGCTGCTCTCATCACAAAAAGGAGCTCTGAGTGAGTCAGGCTGTGATTTTCAGTCGAGGGGGCGGGGGAGGGACGCAGTAATGCTTCCGTATATGTCTATGTCCCTCCTGAGCTTCTTTGACACTTTTCCTGATGCCTTTCACCTTTGTGAGTCTTCGGAGACGCTGGTGCAGGGCTGAGCTTGAAATGTTACTGCTCACCCATAATTTTTATAAATCTCAGGTGTAGCACATCTCCTTTCACTCCTCCCTGAGTTTTTATGTGTTTAGGCTTTGAGGCAGGAGCATTTTTATGTCTCTTCTCCCTTGGTTTCCCCTCTCTCACCCAGCCCTGAAACAGTCAATGAATGTGCCCTTTCTTATGTCTTGATATAGGCCTCGAGGGACAGTTCCTTCCTATCCATCTGCTGAATGCCATAACAGCAGGTAGCCTGGGATTTGCTGGAAAAGCGCTGGGTCTGAATCCGCCCTTTTGATATAGGTGGACATTATGTATTTTTAATAGACATAGAGTTCAATGAAACCCTTAGTACTAGCTGAATTGGCACAAAATTCCCAGGCAAGTAGTCTTTGGAGCTGATCTCTCCCTAGGTACCTTGCAGAAAATGAGATCAAGGACAAAAAAAGGCCACGTTCCCTTTGATTGCAAGAACTGCCTGGTTTTGCAGAGGAGGTGGCTGAGCAGGAGTTAGCCCGCCTGTGCCGTCCCTTTAGCTGTGCGTGAAGGATTCCGGAGTGGCAGTCCTTGTTCATCCTTGTTCATCCACAGAGTAGGTGCAGCATAAGGTGAGAGGCTGTTATAAAGCACCTTCTTTCAAGCATCACGCTCTGTGGGCAAGTACTTCAGCACTGGCCTGGAGGCAGCATCTCCCTGGTTTGTCCAGTGCAGGCCTTGCCAGTCTCAGCAGAGTTCCCTTCCACCTGAGCAGTGGCTTGAGGCCATGTGTGGAGTCCTGCAGCTTGCTTAAACTGGTCCCTGTTCCTGCGATGATGCATTTAGGACCTGTAAGTGTGTCTTGATGCTTGCTAATTTCTGGGTAATGCTTTGCCTTCCAAGCTATGTAGCAGACGTCTCTGCTCCCAGGTACCCCTAGAGATCCACAAGTTCTGGGGTCTGAATTCTATAGGTTGAAAAGAAAAAGCTGGGTGAAAATGGTGGGAGTCACTGGTGAAGGTCAGTGAGATTGCTCCACGATATGGACCTCAGCTCCCCAAGTCCTGAAGCTTTTCACACTAACTGGAAGGTTGTGTTTTTTTCTTTGTTGTTCCTTTTTTGGCAAAGAGTAAGTGTATCTCCCTATACCTCCAGGTTACTATGGCACTGTAACCTTACCAGATCTGGAAGAGAGGGAGTAACAGGGAGTAGCTGTAGCTGTGGATCTGTGCACGTCCACTGTGGGACATGTAGCCAGGAAGAGATGGTGGCGTATGGAGGGGGTTGTTCTGGTTGGAAGCAGGTAGCAGTGGCAGGACAGGTAACTCATCCCCAACCTCAGGACCGACTTTTGGCTCATGTTGAACTGTCCAGCTGCGAGCGTGGCATTCGGAGATGTGTCTACCGTGGTGTTCAGCCATCTCTGAGAAACCGGCTGCTGAGCGTGAGTCGGGCATGCCTGGGCTAACTGTTAAAGGGCAGTATCAGGAGATAAGATCTTTACCCTGCTCCCCAGCCCCTTCAAGCCCTGCATCCTCCCAGTGGTCCCTATGAAGGAAGGGACCATCCCTACGGTCCCACTGCATCCTTAGAGGTCACAGAAGTGTCCCACCTGCCCACTGGCCTTGGTGCAATTGTCCCCAGATTAGGGTCAGCCCTAGTCACATCCAGAGCCTCCTTCCCATGGGGGAAGCATGTTCCTGCGGTCCTTCGCCCAGTGCTTGCGAAGCCCAGGTGGACTCAGCTGGGGAGCCGTCAGTCCGGGCATGGCGGCAGGCACAACGAGGAACGGAGGGTGCTTCCGCCAAAGTGTGCGTGCAGAAGGTGGAGCAGAGCTCAGCCTGCCTTCCCGAGAGGCTGGAGGGGAACCTTGCTCTCCACCAAGCGTATGGTCACTGCTTTCTCTCAGAGCGCTGCTGAGCGTCCTCACCTGCCAGACCCTGCCCTCACGCCCTGCCCTCTCTAGCCTAACGCTTTCAGTTTGCCTGCTGACACGGGCCCCCCCCAGCCTGTGGCTGCAAACTCAGTGGGTGATGCCGTGGAGTCAGGAAAGCAGGAACCAATTCCTTCAGGGGCCATCTCGGAGCCTTCCTCGGCTTTTCCTCCCGTCGCAGGGAGAAGTGCCCCTGCCTAAGTGGAATAAATTGGTACAGACCGTGAGCAGTGCAGGTCCTCCTCTGGTGGGGGGGAGGGAAGGGGCTGTCGGCACTGCTCTGGCTGCAAAGCAGCCAGCCACGCTCTGGCTCCTTCCTCCCGCACCCTGTTGGCCTCCTCCTCCTCCTCCTCCCTGTTTGCACGCTCCCTCCCTCTTTCACTCTCTTTCTTTCCCTTAACGCCACGCTGCAGAAAGGCAGACCTGGGGAACCGGAGGTCCACAGAGGCGGTGGAGGAGGAAGGAGCTCTCCAATGCTGTTTCTTTGCGAGTGAAATGGGGAAGCAGAGAGGCAATGAAGGAGTGTTTTGATTGCTGCCTGGATTAAGAAAGAAAGCATTAAAAAAGCCCCCAAAATCCGGACCAAACAAACAAGAAAAAAGGGAGAAGAGAAGGAGGAGGAGGTTGCTGGGGGGAGCCCACTCGGGTGGGTGAAGAACCGCTTTGAATCGTGCCTCTGTTCGCAGGGATTAAAGCATGAATGGGAGCAGCTTCCCAGCCACGATGGAGAGAGAAGGCGGTTCAGGCTGTGAGAATAAGGTAACTCTTGCCTCTTGCAGGCATTACATGGCTGAGCTGAGCAGGACAGAGATCCTTTATGCACAGCGCTGGGTGTGTGTGTGTGTGTATGCAGCGGGCAGGGAGTGGGAGGAAGCAGGAAAGACTCAAAGCGATTTTTCTACCCCTCCCAGTGTATTTAGAGGATGCAGAATGGGTCCCGGGGGCTGCGGTGCTGGAGTTCGCTTTGCCCCCCTTTCTCAGGCTGGGTGCCTGAGGATGCCGAGCTGCTTTGCCTGGGGAAGGCTGGCTGGGCTATGGGGACCAGGAAGACTGTGCTCCCAGCCTTGCCCTCCTAGACCTGCACCTGCTCTGGGGCTCTGCTCGTGGGCTGGCGTGCGGCTCTCGGGGAAGCTGCGTGGGGACTACAATGGCCCCGCACCCTTCCAGCCCGCCAGTGCATCTGGGCAGAAAGATGGGAGGGAGGTGAGAGGCAACAGAGAGAGTTGCTTTTCTCTTCCCTTGGTCATCCTCTGCCTTTTCTTCGCAATAGAAAGGGATGGGATTTAGGAGGAGGGGGAACTGAAATCCCTTTCATTTGTGCCAGCATTGGTGAGAGCCAACTTTGAGGCTGCTTAAAGGGAAAAGCTTTCTGAGTGCTATCTTTTGGAGGAAGAGGAGATGGCTGAGCAATGCTTTGCCATCTGAGGAGTGATCTCTGTGTCGTATTATGCTGTGGGAGTGGGTGTGGATGAAAAATAGTGATTATAGGGGAGAAGGTCCATGGTGATCAGTGAAGCTGTCCACAAGTGATGCTTTGATTTTCCCTGCTGGGCCTCTCTCTTGACTCAGTTCCTGGATCTCTGACCCTGAAAGTCCTAATTTAGCTCAGTCAGACCAGAAAGCGCAACTTCAGATGGTATTGGGAGGTGGCTTAGCCCAGATGTTTGGGAAACCACCAAGGAGAACCTGATGTTTACAGTTGTGGAGCCCATATCCAGTGAATCCCAGCAAGCAGAGGTCTTAGCTGGGCGTCCCTTGCTGTCTTTGGCAGGATCTTGCTGCTGCAATATCCATTTGTTGTGTGCTGTCCGTCAGATACCACCTCCTCCCCGTGCCTTCAGGGGCTTCCTGATGGGTCTTGGCATGGGGTTAGGAAGCATTTGCTTTGGTTACTTAGATAATGATGTGTCACAGAAATCCCAACTTATGCGCACACTGTGCCGAAAGTCGTGAGCCCTGGTGTGCCGTCAATTGACAGAAGAGCTTGTATACACATCTGAGGAGCTTACGGTCCAGTGTTTGTTACGGGCTGGAAGAGACCGTGCAGTCTGTTGCATAGGTCTGTACGTACTTGCCTGTATTGTTAGTGTCCCTGAACACCTACACTGAGGTGTCACCAACTCGTGCAAATGAGTGAGGCTGGGTGTGTTTGCGTGTGCACATAAATATGGAAGAAGGGCTGTGTAAATGTACAGTGCAGCTTTAAGCCATTCTTTTGAGCCTTGTGCGTGTAATTAGTTCTTCTCTGTACTCAGATCTCCGATGCAAATGAAATGGCCAAGATTTGGCTAGAAGGTTACAGTGGTTGGGATTGCTGGGGTTACCTGACGGAGTCGGGATCGAAAAGGTGTGGGAAAATGGAGGCACTCGGGAAAAGAGGGTAAAATACCTTCTTTCTGTATGTAGCACCCAACTTTGTTTTCTGTGTCAGCTTCAGAGTGTTGAGGAATATGGAAGAAGTTCTGGTGAACGAATTGAATAATTGGACAGTGAAAAAGAAGAATATTTGTCCCAGGAGGGTTAATGCTATGACAGGCACCAGGAGCTTTGGAAATGCCTAAAGCCAGCAGGACAGTGGATGCTACTAGAATGGGAAAGTAGCTGACCAATAATTTTATTTTCCTGGCTGAGTATGTATGGGTGTATGAAAGACAGAGGAAGGAAAATGAAATCGGTGACGTTGGCTCTGAGTACTTTCCCGTTTCATGCAGCTGAGTTATAAATCCCTTCTTGCACCCCCCTGTAGGCATTCCTAGTGAAATGCTGTCAGCTTCTCCGGCGGAGCACTGCGAACTTGGAGTCGTTAGCAACGCGGTAACAGCTTTAACAAGAGATGGCTCCCTCCAAGCTGGGCTGACCTGAGGAAGGTGCAGCAGAGGGGACCCAAGTCTCGTGTCATTTTGATGCTCTAGGACAGCAAAGTGAGAGGGCATCCATAAAGGTCTCCCTCCACATGCACGTGTCAGGAGGGAGAGGGGCAAAGCTTTCCCACTTGTTAGTTGGCATCCCAACATTTCCTGACCCGTCAGCGTGGCTCATAGTGGAGAGTGAATGCGAAGGGAGGACAGTGCCCCAACCCTAGGAAGGAACTGTCACCTTGTGTGTGTCACAGGCCTGGCACAGTGCCACTGGGGTCAGCAACTCTGTTCTCCTGTGGCTTTGTCCTCATCAGGGCAGCGTCTCACAGAGCTCCAGCCGACTCCAGCAATGCCTGGATTTGCTCCCTCTCCTCCCTTGACCCGCAGTGTTGTTCTGCATCTTTCTGGTTTCTGCTCTGCAGTTGTGCACTTTCTGAGGCAAGAGCAGCAGCGAGTGCCTCCCGCGTGCAGGGCCTCGACGGCTTTTAGCACGCTCACAAGTGCTGCGTCTTCCTGGCAGACAGCTGCTGTAGCTGGGAGATCTGGCCTGAGCTGACCAAGAAAGCTTCCAGTAACAAAGTGTGAGCGCACGCTTTCCCCTAGTGCGCAGCTGGCTGCTCAATGTCAAAATAATGCTTTCTGAAAGGAAAACAGTGTGTCTACCCTTATAATCTTTTCCGGCACCCTCATATTGCAGCAGCAGAAGCGTTGGGAAATGAAAAGAACTGTCTTCTAAGGGACACTAGGGCAAATGTTGCAATTCGTTTTTTAGTGTTTCTTGAAGACTTGACTTTTGCAATGCTTTTGCTCGCTCTTGCCCTCGTTCTATTTCTACTAGCTCAAAAAAAAGTTGTGCAAAAGCATTTTTTTCTTCTTCAAACAAAACACAGGGTGCAGATTTCAGTCCATAGGTTGACAGGATGTGGTACTTCCTTGCATCACTGTGCATTTTGTCTTGCAGGGATGAGCAGTGCCAGAGGCTGTCTGGCTTCCAGAGCTGCTTTTAATGTGGGCTTACCAGCAAGATCTCTGACTTCAGGGGACGCAGCAGGCCTTGGTCAGCATCTTTCTCTGTGGGTGATGCCCTCTGTGGCTTTCTCGCCCTCCACTTCTTCTATAGCCCTCACCTGCACGCAGTAGCCTTGAAAAGTTAGGTGGGCTGTAGCTGTAAGTCTTCTTTGGTGATACGGCTGGAGGTGTATTTGGTGTGGCTTCAATCCACCCGAAGGCAAAGCATCTTCTGGAAGCAGTGTCATTGGAAGGGCCCTCTGCAGTGTCTTTTTCATGGGTCCTTGTGCTCTGTGACATGTTGTCTTTTATGCTTTGCTTGTGGAGATCCTGAATCAGTTACCTACCAGTGTTTTGCTTCTCTGGTGGCAAGAGGAGTGATCTTTGCCAAGCACAAGGTCTGAAGTATGAGGACAGAGTCTCCCTTTTTCTCCTGTGAGCCCCAGCTGTTTGTGTTTGGGTTGGCAAGTTGACATCAGGGCTGGATTCACCTTCAGAAGCTAATAAGGGCATTGCTGAGTGGAGATCACAGGGTGTGGCCCATAATTAATCTTCATATGCTGATCTAGACACGTGGACCACCCCCCCAAGTGCTCTAAGTAATACAGCGTATTAGTCACTGTTGAATATATCCTCCTACATTTTTTAATGGAACTCCACACCTCCAGGGAACTGAGGCACTGAGAGACTGAGGAAATAACGGAGAGCAATTCACTGTGCTAGGGAGCAGATCCAGGTCTCTTGCAGTGCTAATGGCTTTGTCCCACAAATTTAGCCAGTTTAGTTCTCCTCCTGTTCTTGACCCTTTCTGTCTGTGGATATGTTAGTTGTACCAAGTGGCACTTCCCATGACACGTTGTTCACAGGCTCCTAAAATCACTCCTGTGCAGAAATATACCTCATGGGTACCTGTACTGTGCCTGGAGCACACTTGCACAGGCAGCTTTGCACAACTGTATTTTCCATGCCAGCCTGTGTAGAAGCGTGTGTTCTTCCCCCTGTGCAGCTGTGTGCAGATGCACACATGCTCTGTACGAGGCTTCCTGCACTTCTTGTGCTGTTCTTTAAGAGCAGGTGATGTATTAACTCTCCTGCTGGCCGAGCTCCAGCCTGTGTGCTGCCCTGGAATGCTATTTATTGTTAGTTCCTGTGACGTGGTTTGATACTCCAGAGTCCTTGGTGCTGTGAAGATCTAGTCTCTGCACTGGAGCATAGCATGTAAGTAATCAGGATGGACAGAGAAAATACTGCATGCTGGGTTTTGATGGAGGGGTAGCCAAATGCTGACAAGGGAAAGGTGATTGGCCTGTGATCATGTAGGGAGTCCGCTGGCAAAGATTTGGGAACCGGAGAAGAAAGTCTGCCAGTTAGAATGGAACAATCTTCAGAAAGGCATTAAAAAAAAAAACATCTCTGAAACCTCTGGGGAGGGGATTTACACCTTCAGATCATGATTGAGAATTCTTTCCATCCAGCTCCGGGCTGTTGCAAAGACATGTGTGCACTGCAGAGCCCACAGAAGAGTGGTATTGTCTTGGCTGCCTTGCTGGATGTCATTCTTAAATGCCCTAGGACAGTTTCTTCCTCAGAGTCAGCACCTGGAAGACAAAAGAACGCTAATCCAGAAGAAATACCTTGACTCTGCCTCACCTTCCATTCAGCTGGAAAGAGACCAGGAGCAGAAGGATGGAAGCTGAGGCTCTGCTCTGGATTTTGTGAATGGATGAATGTAGAGACGCAAGTGGGGATTTTGAGGGGATTTGGAAGCCTGCTCCAGGATTTGTCTGGCACGCAAAGCATTTATAGTACTTCCAGCATTATCATCACATAATGCCAGCATGATTCGGGGCCCACTCCAGCTCTCAGAGAATAAAAAGCATAACTCTTATCACC